TGAAATGTGCGATCTTGCCAGATCGCCCACTCCCACCTTAGGTGTTCTGGCGCGCGTTAACATCAAGTGCATTCCTGCCTCAAGCATTTGTTGGGGCTCCGGGATGTCATTCCAAGCCTTTTGCCGGTGTGAACAGCTGAAAACCTTGTGGGTGCTTTCCGTGCACGAGCCTTTGTTTACGTCAAGGCCGGCTAATTCTTGTGCCGGCAGTCTTGGGCGATCACAAGTCAGTGTTCCGGTGGGCCTTTCGTGTTTTTGTCTTTCGCGCAATCAACGTCACTGCTTGGCTTGTTGCAGTTGGTCGTGTTGGACAAGAGGTATCTATCATTGCGAAGCTGTCATGTTTGTTATTCACATAGGCTATGTCTTGGTTTAGCGAACTAAACCTAGAGGCCACAACGAGGCATGTCAGTCGGAAAGGCAATGAGGTTATCATTGGCATGACGTGATGCGAAGCTCGAGCCAGCTTGGGTGTGTACCAGGATATGCCCGCTGATGGCAGCATTTTGGCTCCTGTGAGCTGGAAACAATGTTTGCCGAACACCTTGCAGAATGTCGGGTGAGGAACTCAGTGGCCGGTTTGGGGATTGCAGTCTTTTCGGGAGGTTCTTAGCTTTTGCAGACAAAACAACAAAATTGAGAAGATGCATAAGAAGTCAATGTATTAGTATGATTTGGCAGGCCCTCATGTCAATGTCCGGTCGCAAATCTAGAGACGTTTCTTAAATTCCGCACACAAACCGAAGACCCCAGATGTTACAAGGAAACGCCATCTTCAGAGCTTCCTGCGCCCTTCGCATCAAAACAAAGGTGTTGAATCCGGCTCAATATGAAGATACTTTCATTGGTAGCCGTAACAAAGAGCTACTTTCGAAACGTAAGCAACCCTAAACCCTAAACCCTAACCCCTAAACCCCAAACCCTAAACCCTAAACCCCAAACCCTAAACCCTAAACCCAACCCTAAACCCTAAACCCTAAACCCTAAACCCTAAGCCCTAAGCCCTAAACCCTATACCTTAAACCAAGCAACGTTCGGCTCGCGCAGCAGAGGCTTTGGCTGGCCAAGCCAGCGAAGAGCTGCAGAGACTGCGAACGGTCCCGGCCATGGTAAGTGCATTGTGTGAGGGTTTCGGGTGTAGCGTTTAGGGTTTAGGGTTTAGGGCTTAGGGTTTAGGGTTTAGGGCTAAGCTTGGGATGTTGCCCTTATGTCCTAACAGCTTCTTTTTAGGGAGCATAGTACACCCTACTATAACTATAATTATTTCTGAGCCAACCCTATGATTAAGGAGCTGTTAGTGTCAGGGGGGGGACATCCCAATGCTAAGGGTTCTTTTGATGAGCTCCTGTGGCTGTGGGAGTTTCGGACGTAGGGGGTTTAGGGTTTAGGGTTTAGGGTTTAGGGTTTAGGGTTTAGGGTTTAGGGTTTAGGGTTTAAGGTTTAAGGTTGGAGAAAGGGGGCCGTCGAGTCTTCAAAAAACTCCAATCAGATCTGAGTCTGAACTGGAGCCTCAACCACAGAATCTCCGTCCCCAAAACCCTTTTAGGGTTTAGGGTTTAGGGTTTAGGGTTTAGGGTTTAGGGTTTAGGGTTTAGGGTTTAGGGTTTAGGTCAAGCCTACCTGAAACTTGAAGCCATCAAGGCTCAGGGGGCTCAGCGTCGCCCTTGAACCTTCAAACCCTCAAGGGATTTACATCCCTATGATCCTAGTAGTAGAGTAGGTAACCTTTATCCTTTTTGGGGCAGTATAATCCCCTCATAATCCCAAAGGTTTGCTTTTATTCACCCAGGTTACTGGACAACTAAGTGATGGTAAGAGCTTAATACCTAAACACCAATTTTTAAACCCCAAACCCCAAACCGTAAACCCGAAATCGTAAGCACCAAGCCCCAAACCCCAACCCCCAAAGCCTAAACCCTAAACCCTAAACCCTAAACCCTAAACCCTAAACCTTAAAGCCCCAAACCCCAAACCCCGAAACCCTAAACCCCTAAGCCGCTAAGGCGCCGGAGGCGGAACGGCCGTCGAAGAGCGCCAGTATCTTCAGCTTGCTGAAGCAGGCCGAAGGTTGTCGTAGTTTAGGGTTTCGGGTTGTTGGGTTTAGGGTTTAGGTGTTCAGGGTTCGGGGCTTGAGGGCTTTGAAGGATCTTGGCCCTACCCTGGAACCTCTAATCTGTAACCTAAAATCCTTCGGCCGTAGTTCTAAGTGGGTTTGTAACTGCCAATTCACCTTACCTTATATCTGATAACCCTACTTCTAACCAACCCTAAACCCTAAACCCGGTAGCTTCGGCAAGGCGGACGACAGCCTGCAGTCGCTGCAGTTGGAGGCCGCGCAGGAATGACTCAGGTTTTGAGGTTTCATGTGTTGGTTCAGGGTTTAGGGTCTTAGGGTTGGGATGTCCCCCCTTGTACGAGTAGGGGGTACTCTAATCCCTATTAAGGACTGTTGGCATAAGCCCAAGTTTAGTGTTTCAGGGAAGGACCGTATTAACTCATCTAGTGTTGTGGGTTTAGGGTCTAGGGTTTAGGGCAACATCGTGCGACTTGTCGTTGTGGTATTCAGGGCTTGATGCAGCGGAGATTGAGTGGGGTCTGGAGGTGGAAAGGGCCAAGGTTCCGCTTGTGCGTTCTGGGTGGTTTAGGGTTTAGGGTTTGGGTGTCTTTGTGCCTTGCATCTTGGAAAGGCTAAATCTGCACCACCGGCTGAGCGAGCGGCCTCCTGAGTTTTTCGGGCTGAGGGTTTTGGGGCGCAGGGTAGAAGGATGAGGGTGTCGGGTTTCGAGGTGAGCTCTTTGGGCAAACAATCTGGACAGCCTTAAACCCTGGTGCCCTTTTCGCGGAGGCCCCTCCGAGTCCACAAGTCTGAAGCCCTCGGGCCCTATGTGGGCCACTGGGTGCTTGTCGTGAAGCGCTAGCCTTCCGAAGGGGTAAGGCTTTAGGCTTTAGGCTACAGGGTTTAGGGTCAGGGATCGACATGCTTGCCTCATGTGCGGTCCCCTGGCGTCTACGGTTTAAGGGTTTGGGGTTTGGTTTTAGGATTCAGGGTTTAGGGTTTTTTTTTGGCGTTGGGGCGTTGAGGGTTTTGCGGGTGAAAAGGGGCTTGGGGGTTTAGGATTCAGCACTCCACCAGCGAGGCAGCGCTCGCCAAAGAAGAGCAGGTGAGCGCCTGAGACCTCTGGTCTAGGGTTGAGGGTTTAGGGTTGAGGGCTAAAACACGGCTGAACCTAGGCCCAAATCCCCCATGACTGTAAGAGCTTCTGCCTTTGCCAATTCCACAACATGGTGGCAACAAAAAGAAAGCAGCACTCTGGCTCGACTGGCCTTAACCCTAGAAGGAAGCTCTGGGCATGCAAGATTCCGATTCCCAACGAAGCCTTCGTAAGCGGTCGAATGTTTAAGTCTAACCGCTTTTCCGATGCCCATTGCGGTGCTTTCCTCGTAAATGCATGTAGAACATCGTAAGCCCAAGAAATCGCTGCACCTTCTCTTCAGTGTACTTGCTGGTTCTAAGTAGGGACGCCGGGAATGAGACATACCTGCCCTGATTCCGTAGTAAGACCCTGAACCCTAAACCCTAAACCCTAAACCCTAAACCCTCAACCCTAAACCCTAAACCTTGAACCCTAAACCCTAAACCCTAAACCCTAAACCCTAAACCAGGAAGTTTAGGGATTTGAATGCCTTGATTCTCCAGGCGCTGCGGGAGGAACTGCGCGCGAAAGCCAAGGCCAGGATGTGGGGTCTGTTCTTTTCTTTAAAGTCAGGGTTAGGGTTTAGGGTTTAGGGTTTAGGGTTTAGGGTTTAGGGTTTAGGGTTTAGGGTTTAGGGTGTAGGGTTTAGGGTTTCGGATTTGGGGTGTAGGGTTTAGAGCTTCTTTTCATACGGAATCCTGCTGTGAAAGATCTCTCTAAGAGGACCCAACACATTTGGAAGCCTAAAAGCGCCCGAAATCTGAGGTGGTTTTGAGCACACGATTGGCTACCCCTACGCTCTTTCCATACACTACTGGACCCCCCAAAACTCGGACGCCCCCAACCCTAATCCTTAAATCTAAGACATATTCAACATACCCCTTGGGCATACCCCTTAAAAGAAATACAGGGGTATGGTAAAATCCTTCCTTATATTCTCCTTTCATAGGTTAAGGGGTATGGGTTTGGGGTGTGCTGAAGTATTCCCGAAGCCCTAAACCCTAAACCCTAAACCCCTAAACCCCTAAACCCCGAAACCCTAAACCCTAAACCCTTAAACCCCGGAAGAAGCTTCAGCGCCCTGGAGCCGTCAGGAGCTCGAAGAAGCGCGCCGTGAGCTGCTGCTAGGCGGCTCCGGGGTTTAAGAGCTTCAGAGTTTACGGGTTCAAGGGTTCAAGGGTTCAAGGGTTCAAAGGTTTGGGGGTTTTAGGGGTTTAGGGGTTTAAGGTTCTTGGGTTTGTTGGGGGTAGCGGGGCTTTGCGTTGCATGTTTTGAAGCTTTGCCGGGGGTTCCGCTGCTTCGAGGGTGGGTCTGGGGTGTAATTCACGTATAAAAGACAGCCCCTAAACAGTTTTTTACGTCTACCCATACGGTCCCAACACGGTTCGTGTGCTCATAAATTCCCAAAACATGGTTTCAGTAGGTTTCGGGTTTGAGGTGTATCGGTAGTAGAGCCCTCAGGCCATTCAAAATCGAATATCCAGAAACCCTGAGCCCCAAAGCCTGAAGTCCTGAAGTTGAGAAAGACTTCGACTCGTTTAGGGTTTAGGGTTTAGGGTTTAGGGTTTAGGGTTTAGGGTTTAGGGGTTTTGACCCTTCCGGTGACTTGAGAGTTTGTGGATCCGCCTTGTCGGAGTTCAGCACAGGGAAGGTGCCTTGCATAGCTCACACTGGGCCTTCTAGGGTTTAGGGTTTAGGGTTTAGGGTTTAGGGTTGAGGGTTGAGGGTTTAAGGCTTAGGAGTTAGTGCTTAGGATTCAGGGCATGATCTGGGGAGCCGATTTTCCCCCTAGTAGATGGGGTGGGGATGCAAGTTCTCGAAGCAAAGCTCCTCGCAGACCTGTAGCCCCTCTTCGTTGGACCTCATCCATCTCAGCCCCAAACCCTGAACCCTAAACCCTAGGGCTTAGGGTTGATTTTGTCCCGATCTCCCCACGTTCTGTGCAGGGGCTGGATCCGGTGGAAAGACCGAAAAGCCGGGGCCTCTCTTCAAAACATGGGGGTCGGCTTCACATCTCAAAGGGGACAGAACAGACAAGCCGTTACCAGCAAGCTCTGGGGCTCTTGAGGTTGGCGGAAGCCTCAGGTGCGCTTGGATTGCAGCACATAAGAAGTGTGAGGCTTTCAAGGTTGAAGGTGCACTCAAAGACCTACACCACCCTAAACCCTAAACCCTAAACCCGCAACCCGAAACCCGAAACCCTAAACCCTAAACCCTAAACCCTGAACTCTCAAATGCCCTGACTCTAGAAGCCCTGAACTGCGAGGCCTTGTGCAACATGCCCTGAACGTGTGGTCTTAGATCCTTACACCTCGAACCCTCAACCTTGTGCCCTACTTGAAGGTTCACGTGTAGTTAGAAGCAGGGCTATGCAGTACGGTAACCTATATTCTAATCTTAGTTTTTGCACTTCTAACCCTACTTATATCTACCCATGAACTTTCTTGTGCCCTCACCTCTGTACAAACCCTAAACCCAAAACCCAAAACCCTAAACCCTAACCCTAAACCCTAAACCCTAAACCCGAAACCCTAAACCCTGAGCCCTAAGCCCTAAGCCCTAAACCCTAAACCCACCGTATAGCTGAGTCTGACCGAGGCTCTTCCTGGCCCGGGAAGAGCGCCGGAAGGCGGCCGCGGTCACCAGCTCGCTCCAGAAAGGCTCCCCAACTGACGGTTTCCGAACGTACGATGGGTTTAGGGTTTAGGGGTTAGGGTTTAGGGTTTAGGGTTTAGGGTTTAGGGTTTAGGGTTTGGGGGTAACCCTAAGGGGGGTTTCCGAAATTAGGGAGTACCCGATTGAGGTCCTTATTCTAAATGAATCCCTATTTGGGGGTCTATATTAAGGTCCCTTCCTTTCGTAAGCCCCCAACTGCCCGTCTGATTGTTCTTTTGCTGCAAAGGCGGGATGTCTTTCTTGTGGCAGTGTAGGGGTTTGAGGGATATTTTGGGGTCACAAACCCAGTGCTATCGGTCTTGGGCTTGCAGGTAGGGTTTTAGGGTTCGGGTTTGAGCTGGGCTGCTCTTGGTTCGTTTGTGATGTTTGGGGTTTAGGGTTTAGGGTTTAGGGTTTAGGGTTTAGGGTTTAGGGTCATGCCAGGGTTCATTTGGAGGCACAGGTGGCTTAGGATTCGGAGCTTTGCAGGAAGAGTGTTAAGTACATGCTGGCTCCCGAAATCAGGGGTTCTTCCTGCGGTCCTGGTTTTTTATGGGAGTCCTACACTTTGGGGGTCTATTTTCGGGATCCCCACTTCAAACCCCCCCCCTCCCCTCAATAGGGTTCGGGGTATTCTTGGGGTGGGGTGGTGCCATCGGAATAGCTGAAGTTCATGTAACTACAGGTCGATGCGTCAGCCAGAATAGGAGGGTGCCAGTTTGAGTTGAAGGCTCCTTGATAGGGACTTTTAGTCGGAGGTACTATAACCCCTGTTAAGGGCTGTTCGGGGGAAACATCCCAAGCTTCCGACCACAAAAAGTCACAAGTTTACCTTATCGGGTCCCGTAATTTGTTTGGGCTCTGATATACCCTAAGCCCTACAGTAAACTCCAGAAAGTTGGAAGATGATTTGAGCTTCTCGAAATCTTTGATATCTGGGATTCCCTTTAGGTGCAATGGGAATAAAGATGTTCCAACTTTTCTTTGGGGTTTACTGTAAAACCCGAAACCATGTTTCGGTGCAAGAAAACATCCCTAATGTATCCATGTCCGCCACATGGGTAGTTCTCACACTCAAGGTTTTTGTTTTTATTTTTTGGGGGGGTCGTTTGCATAAGGTGCCCTACTATATAGAGACCCAGAAAGGAACCTACTTTAGAGAGCTACTCACATGACTTCAGCCCGCCCACATGACTTCGTTGTCAGCCCTACCTGAAGGTTCGGGTAGTTATAGGTAGGGTTACAAGTACGGCAAGCTATCTTCACAACCGAACTATAACCGAAACCCTCAAAACCCTAAACCTTACACCCCAAACCCTGAACCCTGAACCATAAACCCTGAACCCTAAACCCTAAACCCTAAACCCTAAACCCTAAACCCCTAAACCCCTAAACCCTAAACCTTACCTAGCCCGCTTTGGGGTGGCCTGGGAAGCCCCGGAGACCCCGAGCCGAAGCCGAATCCCAGAGCTCAGGAAACCCCCCCCCCGCAGCCCACTCCGGCTCTGGAACCCGCCCTCCAAGATTATTATTATTACTATTATGATTATTATTACTACTATTACTATTATTACTATTATTACTATTATTATTATTATCATTATTATTATTGTTTATGAATAATTTTATGAATAATAATACTACTAAATGATAGAAGTAACTACTAATAATTATAGTAACACTAATATTAATAAAGCCCTAGACTCCTCAAGGCCCAACGCCCCACGCCTGAAACTTGGGATGTTCCCCCTTGTACTAACAGTCCTGATTAGGGCATTCGAAATTGGGGGTACTATAGTCCCTTATACTGACAGTCCTTAATAGGGCACTCCCTTATACTAACAGTCCTTAATAGGGCATTACAATAGTCCTACAATCCCTATCGAGGACTGTTAGTCTATGGCTCTACACCCCACGCCTGAAGGCCCTAAACTCGCAAAGATGGAGCCAGGCACAGAGCGACTGAAGGAGGCCAACAAGATCTCCACGGAGACGGAGGACTTTGGGAGTTTAGGGTTTAGGGTTTAGGGTTTGGGGTTGAGGGGTTTTTGGAGATTTTGGGGGGCTTTTCAGGGCTCTCCCCGGCGTAGAGCTCGGGGGCACGGGTCTGAGAGGCTTGCCGGCATAGAGACCTCTCTTTCTGGGTGCTGTGTGTAGCGAGTGAAGGCCGACCCTCTTGAAGTTGCCAGGGCTTGACTCTCGTGCTCGGTCCAGGGTCCGAAATCTTGCATGTTGCCCCCTTAAACCCCAAACTCCAGAACCCTAGATTAAAGCTGGGGAGCCTTAAAGGGGAAGCTAATCCCTAAAGCCAGAAAGCCTCACTTAACCCCCCACGCTCTGTGATCAGGACATTGGCGTCCGGGCTCTCCAGGACCGCCGCACTTTCTTTCTTTGCTTTCTCCTCTCAACTCTCAGAGTGTTCCCTGACAAGGACTATTTGGTAAATAGTTGCGGCAACTCTTTGAGTGCTCCCTGACAAAGACGATTCTTAAATAGCTGCGGGGCTGAACTGCGCACCTTGTCAGGTGGGGTTGGAGTTTAAGAGGCCAGGGTTCCACTCCTGCTGGGCATTCGGTTGCCTTCGCCTGCACTTTGTGCACGGTTGCTTTCGGCCGTGGAAGCGAAGGCTGTTGCCCGAAGAGTTCCTGTTAGCCTCGAAGCCAAAGTCACCCCTAAACTCTAAACCCTACATCCCCGAAAGTCTAAAGCTTCAAACGGCACCCAGGACCTACGCAACCAGCGTGAGACCATGATCCGCATGAAGGACAACACGCACGACGTCGGCGCCACACCTGGATGCCAGAGGTCTTTTGGGTTCAGGGATCATCACATGAAAAAGATCATGACAAAACGAATACTAATACCAAGAAGAATATGGAAGGATCACATGTTCTTAGGGGTGGTGTCGGTGATGAGGAGATCGGCTCCAGCATCGTTGGTGTGGCATTCCGTTGTCGAGGGCTTTCTGTGCCACTCCCTTGAGACCAGTACCTCGCCTCGTGGTTTACAGCCCCACATCCGAAGTCTTACCACTCCCGCCCACAGGTTCCACTGGACTCACTCTAAAACCCCCAAAACCCTCAAGCTTCTAAACCCCTGAAGCCCTCAAACTCCTAAGCCCCGAAGCCCTCAATTTCCGGAGCTTTTCAAGGGTCGCTGTGAAGGAGCTTAAATTTCATAGGTTGCCATAGCATGGGCACATACTAAACCCTAAACCCTCAACCCTAAACCCTAAACCCTCAACCCTGAACCCTGAACCCTGAACCCTAAACCCTAAACCCTAAACCCAAAGCACTTTCTCAAAAGCATCGGCCCCAAAGCACTCCTGCCTCATTAGGCTTCGGGGGTTTGGGTTTGGGGGTTTAGGGAGCTTCGGGTTTGGTTTGGGGTTTAGGGTTTAGGGTTTCGGGTTTAAGGTTTAGGGTTTAGGGGGTTTGGGTCTAGGTTTGGGGGTTTAGGGGCTCACGGTTTGAGGCTTTCAGGGTTGCCTCGTGACCATTTCACCCAAACCCTTCTTGACACCAAAGCAGTGCCCCCAAATCCCGAAGCCTTAAACCACGAAAACCCCCAAGAGCTGGAATCCCAAAACCCTAAATCCCAAAGCCCCCTTACCCCCCTCTCCCCAACCCCCAGCCCTAAGCCCTAAACCCTGAACCCCAAATCCCAAACCCCAAACCCTAAACCCCAAACCCTCAGCCCTAAACCCTAAACCCTAAACCCTAAACCCTAAACCCTAAACCCTAAACCCTAAACCCTAAACCCTAAACCCTAACCCTAAACCCTAAACCCTACCAAACCCTGCACCCTAAAGCTTCAGAGCGAGGTGCCAACCTGGAGGATGCCGAGAGAGCGGTCAAGGAGCTTGACAAGCAGACGTGTTCGGCCCGGGGGCCCTGGGAAGTTCATAATTTTTAGTTGTTTGTTTATATTCTTAATTTTCTTTAAACATTTTTCTATTTTCTTCTTATTGTTCTTGGTATTATGACTAGTAGGGGATTCTTGTTATTCTCTTCTTTTTCTTTTTATTATGCTTGGTATTATGACCGGCAGGGAACGGGTGGTGTTGGTGGTGGTGGTGTGGTGGTGGTGGTGGTGGTGGTGGGGTTTATCTGTTTTTTCCTTCTCTTATTACTCTAAGTAGTGTGACTAGTAGGTGTATTTTCATGTTTATGTTTTTTGTTTTTCTTCTTCTACTTAATACTTTCATTATTGTGACGAGTAGTATCTCTATTGATACTTCTTGAGATTTTCTTGCCCCAGCCGACAAGTGGGGTTGCTAGAGAAGTGTGGCGGCATCAATGTCCCTCGACGTGCTCAGGACACAAGGCTGTGCGGCTTTCAGGCCGCACAGTATTCAGGATAAAAGGCGGGCAATACTGCCGTAGCAAGCAGTGGGCCAGGGAGGCCTAGGTGGGCAAGTGTGCCAGAAGGAGGCTCAGGAGTGTTGTGTTGAAACCGGAATGCCGCCTAAAAAAGCAACTCTACCGGCATCCCATCTTAATAAGCAGGGCAGGGAGGCTCCGGAGGGCAACCGTGTCGGAATGTTGCCTTGACATGCCGGTCAAGGAAGCTGAGGCCCTTCCCCCCGATACTAACAGTCCTTAATAAGGACTATAGTAACCCCCTATGAAAATCACTATGAAGGACTGTTAGTACGGGGGCAACCGGAATGAGCCTGAATAAGCTGCCCAGAGGTGGTACCGGCAAGTAAGTCCTTGCCACCGGGTTGTAGGGACAGGGTGATGTTGAAAGTTTGTTGCTTATTTGTGTTTCTTATGGGTGCTTTCGAGCTTTCAGGGTTTTGCTTTGTGCTATTTGAGGGGGGTTTTAGAATTGAAGGGGTATTTGGGTCGTAGGTGCTTTCGTTGTTTGGTATTCTTGACGTTTTGAGGTTTAGGCGTTTAAGCTTGCCGCCGGGGTTTCGGAAGTTTACCAGACCGCTCCTTTTGTTTAGAATTCTTGTAATCTCCGTGGTGAGGCCTTGAGAGCCCAAGACCTCCAATACTACAGCCCTCCAATACTTCAGCGAAGTAAGTGCGGAAACATAATGCAATCCAAGTACCAAGTACTAAATAGTAGTGGCACTCATCCGAACTCCGGAAAACTAGATGCGAACGTACAATGCCAACATACAAACGTTGAGATAAGAGACTAAAGCCGAATGTGAGAGCTGCTGACTTAACTCTTCACACTGAAGGCATGGGCCTAAAGCCTGGGGTTTGGGGTTTAGGGTTTAGGGATCAGGGTTTGGGGTTTAGGGTTTGGGGTTTAGGGTTTAGGGTTTAGGGTTTAGGGATCAGGATAAACCTTGAACCTGGACTCTGTCTTGTGGGCACGCAGGTGATGTGAGCCCGCGCGGTTCTGAAATTCGCCAGTGATTTGGTAGTTCGAGGCTGAAAGCGTGTTGCCAAGTGCCAAAGTTGGGCTGCAAGTGCCTTCTCATCTAGGGTTTAGGGTTTAGGGTTTAGGGTTTGGGGTGGGTGTTGTTGAGAGGTTTACGGTCTACAGTATTCTGACAGCCCTAACCCCTGGCCCTAGGTTTGCTTTCGTTTTGCTATCTTTGTGGAAGGGAGGTTATACTCCTTGTACGGTATTTCCGTTTGCAAGCCCCCACAAACAGCCCCCAAACCCGAAATCCGGGGTTTAGGGTTTAGGGTTTTTAGGGTTTAGGGTTTAGGGTTTAGGGTTTAGGGTTTAGGGCCTCTTCGGCCCAGCTTCGCGCATGTGGGATCACCCTTGTCTGTGGGGCTCTCAACCACGAGGCCAACCGCCCTTGGCGTTGCTTTGACTTCGGTCTGGTTTGGGGAGGTAGGGTCTACTTACTGTAAACTCCAGAAAGTTGGAACATGGTTTAAGGATGATTGGAGCTGGGATTCCCTTGAGTAACCCTCTTGGGGCATGAGGAGAATGATGTTCCAACTTTTGGGGTTTTACTCTAGTGACTTACTAGTTGAGTAGGTAACCTTGAACCCCTTTAAAAATTATCCTGCCAGAACTGAAAGGTAAGCCTTTTTTGGCCCAGGGTGTTCAGCAACTAGGTTTAGGAGGATCTTGAGCTGAAGCTTCAACCTTTGATCCTTGAATCATCCTTGCTTCGTGGCCCTGGAGTGCGGCATCGGGCGGGTGCGTGCTCAGTGCGCACCGGCCTAGCGGCCCTTGCCAAGGGCACGGGCAGTTTCTGGCACCACGCTCCACTGAGTGGTTGAGGGCTGCCTCCGGCCGTGTTGTCAGCCAGTCGTCAGCCACTGAAATTCGCGGGTTTGGGGGTGCTAGCCCCTAGACCCCTTTTGTCGTAGCCGTGTAAACTGTCGGACGGGTAGAATACGAGGCTTGCGCGTGCAGTTGTTGGAGCCTTGGGCCACTGTTGCCAGGCGGAGTCGCCTGGTTGCGGGGCACTTCGGCCCTCAAGCCACGCCTTCAATACCTGTAAAGCGCCCACATCAGGGAGTTTGGAACCCTAAGGCTAGCACCGGAAACACGGAGGTGTTGAGGCTTTAGGCGCCCCAACCTCACACTCTAGGCAAACCCTGAAACCCTTACATAAAGCCTAAGACAATACATGCCCTTAAGCCCTAAGTAAGCCGAAGCCCATCGCATGGCTGGCCCAAAGGGCCCAGCCTGTTTCGCACGGCCGGGGTGCTGGGCCGAAGGTGGGACCTAGATGCCGGTTGCAGACGAAGATCTCTTTGAGTCCTAGGATTTTAGGAGTTTAAGGGGTTTAGGGTTTAGGGTTTAGGGTTTAGGGTTGCAGAGCTCAAGGGATCCGAAATCCGAAGCCTGAGCCCTGCAGTCGGACGATGGTGAGCTTCCTTTTGCATGCGACACATCCGTTGGCTTGGTTGCGCTCGGTTCTGCGAACAGAGGACTGGCTAGCACAGCCTAGCAAATTTGCGAAATGCTGTTGAACAAACGCGCGTGCTTCGACCGGTGTGTGTTCTTGCCAACACATCCGTGCCTTTCAAAGCCATAGATCCCTATAGCCCCAATGGCTCAAACCCTGAACCCCATGGTAAACTCCGAACCCCAAACCCTATGCTCAGCATAAACCCTAAACCCCACAGCCTAAACTACCGAGCTCGATTTTGGTGGCCGTCTGTGGAGAGATTGGGTTAAGGGTTTAGGGTGGCACAAGGGTTGGGGGCTTTGGAGATCCACAGGCCCTACGCTGGCCTGCGAGACGTTGGGAGGTTCAGATTCGATCGAAAGGCTCCTGGAACGCGACTGCAACTGCTTGTCGCGGCGGCTCGAACCGCACAGCGCGAGGATGCGTGAAGTCTACGCTGTAGGGCTCAGAGTGCCAGCGGGGTCCCAGATGGCCTGGCTTTATCCAGATCCTTTCTTTTGCATGTAGAGAGTATCGCAGCAAGAAGTCCTGATTCCGAGCGTTTGGCGTCTAGCGCTCCCGAGCCGTCGCTTTCTTATGCCGTATGCCAATGCGCTTCTTGGGCCACCATGGCTAGAAGTGCATTGCGCATGTGCAGGCACGACATATAGGGGGTTGCAGAAACAGCTTGTCTTTCGGGGCGTCACACCTTGCACCAAGACCCCAGGCCCTTAGTCAGAAGCCAGAAGAGGCAGATCAGCCTTCGCAATACAAAAAACCATGATCGGCATCGCTGTAAAGGTTACACATGTCGATTGTAGCACTAAGTTCCAGAGAGTGTTGGTTGAAGCTGCCAGCTCAAGGTGTTGAAAGCTTAAGATCACGATTTTGCTTCGCGGCCATGGCGAAAGATGAGCAGATTGCCAAGGCCGTAAACAGCCTGACGTCCGATGCCGCAGATGATGCAAAGGCAGATGCGGCAACTGCTTTGGGAGACTTAGCATGCAACAACCCCCCCAACCAAGATGCCATTGCACAGGCGGGGGCCATCCCTCCCTTGATAGCACTGGTCATGGACGGGCCGGAAAAGTCGAAGTTTCAGGCGGCTTGGGCTTTGCATCTCTTGGCCCTCGACAACGCTGCGAATGCCCAGCGCATCGTCGCAGCCGGCGCTGTGGAGCCCTTGGAGGCCATGGCCGCCAGCGGGTCGTTGATTGCAGCAGACTTCGCTCGGGCGGCTCTGCGCGTTCTACAAGCTGCAGAGCCACTTGGAAGCTGACTCCGGAGAGGCTCCGCGCATCTCCGCGCCCCGGTGACGGCACTGGAGGCCCAGACAGAGCTGTGAAATCCAACATCTTCGTCATCAGACTTTTGCTTATGATTTCTTGGTGATAGTGTTTTTGATAGTTTTTGTCTGGTGACCTCTTGTAGTTCGGTGATTCTGTTTGGTGATGTTTTGTGATTTTCCAGAGTTTGACGGTTCTGCTGCGTGCATCTCTCTGTGACATTTATTGTTTGCGCAGCACGTGCTGTATGTGGTCCATTTTGTTTAAGCATGTGTGTTTCAGTGGCTGTTGTGATTTTCGTCTTATCGACATTTCTCTCGTTCATTGTCCTGATGTCTATGGCACCTCTCCTGCTGTTGGTCCCGGTGTCCTGTTGATTTTTGTTTGTCTTCAGTATTGCTTGCTTGTCTGTCTGTTTGTTTGATTGATTGTTTAATTGATTGAGTGATTATTTGGTGGGTTGTTTGTTTGTTTGTTTGATTGCTTGCTTTCTTGCTTGCTTGTGCTTGCTCGTGCTTGCTCGTGCTTGCTTGTGCTTGCTTGCTTGCTTGCTTGCTTGCTTGCTTGCTTGCTTGCTTGTTTGTTTGTTTGTTTGTTTGTTTGTTTGTTTGTTTGTTTGTTTGTTTGTTTGTTTAAGAATACGAACACTTATGAGTAGCACTAGTGATAAGAATACGAACACTCATAAATAGCACGGATGACAATCAAGCCCTTCAGCCCTGATTAAACCCTACACCTTCAACTCCAAACCCCAAACCCACCTCGGCTTCGGGAGGTTCGAAGAGGGTTTAGGGCTTAGGGTTTAGGGTTTAGGGTTTAGGGAGGGTTTTATGCTTTGGGTCCCAGTTTCAATAAACTCAGGGTTTGGGGCTCTTTGCCCGCTTCAGCCTGCAGAATGCGCACGCTCCAATGCCATCCGCTACCCAAAGCCCTACCCTACATATTATGAAGCAGGGTTTATATTACTGTTCTTGGTGAGTGTATATGAGGTTCCTTTTTAAAAATTGGTGAGTGTATATACCTGGTGTCCTTTTCGGGGGTACAAGAAATATAATACCCTACATTTCATATCATAAGCCTCAGGGGCCCCAAGAACTTGAGCCCTAAACCGCTGAAGGGGGCGGGCCGTTTGTGGGTCGGAGTGCCAGTCTTTCCGGGTTTTTTTGGGGGGAGAGTTTCGGGTGGGAGGGGCTTGACGTTTGTGGTTGGGTTCTGAGCTGGGTTTAGGGTTCAGGGCTTTCGGGTTCAGGACTTAGGGTTTTAGGGGTTTCGTTAAGACTCGCCCTGACCCTAGGGTGCACTCCTTTTGGGGCGCTGTACCTACAAGTACTCTTAGGTGTTCAAGGGGGGCTACGTATCCCAAGGTTCCCTAATACTTCCCACTACTCCCTAAGGCTCCAGCCCGACACGTGCTGAATCCTAATATTCCTAACCCCTAAGCCACAAACTGCATAGAACCCCCCTGCAAGGAATACGAAGTAAAAGCCCCAACCGCAGAGTTTCAGCGTTTTTAGGGTCGAGAGTTTATGTCTTCTAGGGTTGTGCAACTGTAGGCGCTCGTTGGGGGGGGGGGGGAAGCGAGCTATGGAGCCTCACCAGTCCCACGATGATTGCACAGGTCTCTTGCCAGTCCTTTCCCTGTTTGTGTGAGGAGATGCTCAAGACTCAAGAAGGACCGGCTGCTACGATGCAGAGGGCTCCTCGTCGGGCAGGAAGCCATTTCAGGCGTTTCGGGTTCAGGGGGTTGCCTTTGAGGGAAGCTTTGAAGATGTGATAAGGCTTCTACAGTGCGCTTGCTGCGTTCGGCAGACGCAGTCGTCGAGAAGGATGATCAGGTGCTTGTGTTGGACATTCTGTTGTGTTTTGCTGGCCCGAGCCTATTGATGCTGTCAGCTTGGAAGGGGGGCAGATTTTTAGAGTCTAGAGGCAGTTCAGTTCTTACGTAGGAATGATGGCCTTGTCGGCGATTCTTCCTGGCCAGATCCAGACAGAGTCAAGGAGCTCAAAGGCATCCTATGGGTCCTCGTCTACTTTGGATCCTCAGGCTGGCCACAGTCTCCACGAGGTTCTCGACCTTGCGACAGTGAGGAACACGGAAGACGAGGATGAGGCGCAGACGCCAGCCTTCCGTCGCCGCGACCGCCGCCATCTACGAGAGCTGCGCCTCAAGGATTTCCTGAAGGCGAACGGCTTCAGGGATGTAAGCGACCCGCGCCAGGGCGGGTGTTTCTCCTTCAAGGAAAGGCTCTGGCCCCTGCATGTTGCTGCACGGCTTGGCGATCACGAAATGGTCCAGATTCTTCTTGCCGCTGGGGCCGATACCTCACAGAAGACCTCGAAGGGGCGGACGGCACTGGAGATTGCAGAAGGATCAGGCAACTGGACCACAGTTGATGTGCTGCGCTTCAACACAAAGGTCATGACAGCCAGTCAGTTCTCCAAGTATTTCATACTGTCTAAAAATTCTTTATGTTGTCCCGAGTGTCCCCCGCCAAAGGCTGCTTCAGGCTCAGGGCTGTCGAAGTCTGTTGCTTGGAACTGAACGGGGGTCGAGTCAGGTGGGGGTGTCTCCCTTATTTTCGTAAGCCTCCAGTTTTTCACTGAAGCAGCCGCGAACGGGGGCCACCATGGGAGTCGTTTGCATCTTGGGGGGCAAGTTGAGTTTCGAGCACTGCTTGAGATCACAACTGGTTCCCCCTAATACGTCCCCCCGAGCCCTAAACCCCAAACCCCAAACCCCAAGCCCTAAACCCAAACCCCAAGCCCTAAACCCCAAACCCCAAACCCCAAACCCTAAACCCTAAACCCTCAACCCTCAACCCTAAACCCGAGATGAGGGCAGGCATCCTGCGATGCAATACCGTCCTGACTGCCACTCTCAGGGGGTCTCCAAGATGTCTCCTGAATGTCTTGAACAGCTTTGTCAGCTCCAAGAAGGGGTTTAGGGTTTAGGGTTTAGGGTTTAGGGTTTAGGGTTTAGGGTTTAGGGTTTAGGGGCAGGCAAGCTTCGAGACATCCAATCGCCGAGCTACCGATTATTCTCTGCTATGGAGCGCGTTCAGCGCACGGGGCCCAAGTCATCCAACGATTTGCTCCCCACACCCGCAGGGTGACGAAGCGGTCGGTCCGGCCCTTAGTGAGAATCACGGGATAAACAAGCAACCCTGGGAAAACAGAATTATGGAGTATGAATATGCATGATATAGATACAGCACATACAGTGAATTCGAATCATGCATACTCAAAGTTAAGAATGCGGATCCGCAAATTACCCCAGACGAGGTTTTTTTTGGGGGAGTGCCTTTAATATATGGGCAGTTCTCCAAATTAGGGTCCTTTTTTGGGTCCCAACATAGAAGGCGGCACCCCAAAAATGAGGACCCTAAAAGGGACCTTAATTTAGAAAACCGCCCATGAAACAAAAATGAATGCAACTAAAGAAAGAAATAAACAAAACGGGGGACTGTGGCGTGCAGTTTATTTCCCTGGACATATACAGATATGCATGCATGCATGTATGTATGTATGTATGTGTGTAGGTATGTATGTACATGGGGGGGGGGGTGACCATATACAAATATATTATAATATTTAATTGCGAAAGATGTCCAGAAACCAATTCTCTGAATTTGGCCTGTCTTTGAATGAAGTCTTAATTCAACTTAACACAAAAGATGAACCCTAGCCCGAGGATTTACAGCAACAATTACAGAGACCTAAAGAAGGGAGGGGGGGGTTTAAGGGAGGTTTCTGTTCTAATAATAATACTAATTATTATTATTATCATTAGTCTTACATGTGGGCATATGGTAAAACCCTAAACCCTAAACCCGAAACCCTAAACCCTAAACCCTAGACCTTAAGACTCAAGCCCTCAAACCTTGAAACCCTAAGCCTTGCACCCCTCTTTTGGAACCTCTGGCTATGGCCGCATTATTCCCACGAGCGTGCCAAGGCGAGCCTTAAACCCTAAACCCTAAACCCAAAACCCTAAACCCTAAACCCTAAACCCTAAACCCTAAACCCTAAACCCCACAGACATTCTTGTGTACTTGAAGGTTCATGGGTAGTATGAATTTTAAGTACGTGTTACCTTACCTAGAACCCTACTTATAATTACCCATGAACTCTTCTGAGAGCAATAGCCAGAAGGCTCGGAGAGGGATGACAAAACTCGGTATGCCTCCTGATTGAACCTCATCACGAGCAGGGCCCAGAACAGCATTCCTGTCAGTTGAGTTTTTCCACCACCTTCAAGTGCGAACGCAGCCCGCTTACCCCCCCTCTGCCCTCCTTCTATGTCCGCGCTTTGTTCCTACAAAGGCATCGGGAATCTACAGCCAACATCTGTCTTAGGACCCAGGCTCGAACTGCTTCGCCACTCTAGCCGGAAGTCATGCAGCCATACCACCAGTGGCACATTATATGTACAGACCGTGTGAATGTACAGTAAACTCCCAAAAAGTTGGAGCATCCTTATCCCCATACCCCAGAGGGTATACTAAAGGCAATCCCAGCTCCAATCGTCCTCAAACAAATTCCAGCTTTCTGGAGTTTATTGTCACAGAACCCAGGAGGTTGGGCTGTGCCCCTCACGCCTGCTGATTGCGCGGGCATCCTATGGGTTCGCTTTGGAGGGCCTTGTGTCGCAACGGGCGGCGTCGAGACGCAACCTTGCTTTGAGCGATACTTCGAGACAAAGCCATGCATCTTTCCTGCCCATACCAATCTCCGACAAAGTAAATTCAAGCATTGCAGGGCCCAAGGTCGGAATTTCCGAGCATTTTTGAACAAACCAAGTTTCTGATCGAATGTAGCAGGACTGCTCACGGAGTAGCATGCTCTACAGGAACCTCTATGCCGCTAAGCTTTCGACTACGGGGGATCAATAGCGAGAAGATGCCGCGTGAGCTGCAATGAGCTTCTCTTTGTGCAGAATAGGTGCCATGTACACAATAATTAAGGCAAGTTACCTGTTGCAGTCATCCCCCGCTTTTAGCAGAGAGAGGTTCCATGTTCAGTCATGCAGCCGTGACATATAAGATCACCAGGGGCAAGTCGCGTGCATTTGTTGAAAGTAGCTGGCGCCCATTTTCCTGGTGACGGATGCAAGCTGTTCCAGCCAGTGCCGGATGCTTCCGGGTCTTTTGGCCCGTGAGTCCATTTGATATTCCGGTACTTGCGTGCAGCTTCTTGATGCTAGCACCCCATGATGCCTAGATCGAAATCACAGCACCATCAGCAGTATGACGACAGTGTGCGATGTGCATGGGGGTGCTGGCTTCGGGCTTGATGGATTAGTCTCTCCTGCGCGCGCACTGCAGGAAAAGGGTCGCAACGGTTGGCTAGCCAGGGTGCAGCTTGGGGCCCCAAAAAAACCCACATAAACATAAGGATCCTGCTATTGGGATAGAAGGGCCCCTGTAAGGGGGATTCCGCAAAACCTGTTTGTAGGATCCTTACGTTTATGTGGGATTTTTGGGCCCCTAGCAGAGGAAGGTCGTGGATGGCTACTGCTTGGCATTGTGATTTGGTCTTGACCGTCCAGTGCAGGATGCTTAATGGAGCTTCAATGGTACATGGTATCATAACTGGGTGATTGGTACCAAAGATACGATTCTGGTCTAGTTGACCTCACCGGTATCCTTACGTAAGTGCGTACTCAACCAAGGTTATATAGGTTATTTTACTTCTAACGTTGTAACTACCCATGAACCTTCAAGTAGAAGCCTGAGCCGCGCTGCTCCGGCAGCATTCTATGAGAAGCAAGAGCTAGTAGTCGACGAAGCACAAGAAGACTCAACTCTGAACCCTAAACCGGGATCTAGGGTTTCGGGGCCATGAGGACTCTAGGCTTGGAAGCCATGCCCGACGTGGTTTCAAGTCTTTTGGGCTTCATCTGCTCAATTCTAGCATTGTGGGTTCCTTGTCGAAGAACCCTGAGATATAAGGGCCGATGTCATGACAAGGGCTCCCCAAACCCTAACCCTAAGAACCTTAAACCCTAAACCCTAAACCCTAAACCCTAAACCCTAAACCCTAAACCCTAAAACCTAAAACCCTACACCCTAAACCCCCAACCGAGACCATGCCTTGCTCCCCTTTCTCTTGAGCCCAGGTTTGCCTCGGATGGCTCTGATGAGAACGAGGAGCCGCGAAGACTTGGTACCCTAAACCCTAAACCCTAAACCCTAAACCCTAAACCCTAAACCTTAAACCCTAAACCCTGAACCCCTGAAGTTGAGGGTTGGAAGCCTGCAGAACCCAAGGCTTTTGCGGCCTCTGTCGGGTTGAGCGAAGTAGGTTGTCAAGCAGAGCGGAGCAGTTTGCTCTCGCAGGGGTGCAGGAAACTCGTGACCAGGATGATCTTGCCAATTGAAGTTATTCACCTCAGTTCTGGAAGCCGGGAGTCCCCCCCTCAACCTTAAAACTCCCTAAGTCCTAATCCTGAATCCCAGAGGGCTGCGTGTGGAAAGCGCGTTGGGATTCAAGATGGTGGTGGGACCACAACGATACCTAAGAGCTCCCGGCAACCTTTAAAGGGCCCGCCTACCAATTTACCAAGCGGGTGGCCGAAGGCTGAGGGCTTAAATGAGGGCTTGACTAGGGTTTATGTAGGGCTTAGGGTCTAGGACTCAAAGTCTGGGTTTTTGTTCGTCGGTTTCGTGGGGAGGTGCGGGTGGGGGTGGGTTGCGCGGGTTGGTTTTTGTTGTTTTGGCAAAGCTGTAGAACTTGATGGCTTCTATCGAGGCCCGTGGCGGCACAAGCTTTCAAATCTGGAGCGCAAGGTTTAGGTCCCTGAGCCCTCGTTAGTTCAGGCCCTCGGGGATCAGACCTTTGCTCCGCGACAGGTTCTGAGGACAGAGGGCTGGCTAGCACAGCCCGGCACGAGCTTTTCAATTGCATGCCGATAAAAAAAATCGCGCGGGCGTGGGTCCTCGTCTTACATCGGGTCCTTTCAACGGGGAATCCGAAACCTGTACAAGCTCGAACATTATAGGCGCGGCCCTTGGTCTTAAGTACACACGCCTTCAGGGCTCAAGTGTGAGGGTTGAGGGTTCCTTCAACTACTGGAGACTTGGGGCATCTTGAACGGGTTTAGGGTGTAGGGTTTAGGGTTTAGGGTTTAGGGTTTGGGGTATTGACTGCAGCTCATCGTTCGCATTAGGCATTCGAAGCCTAAGCCCACCCAATACCCTAACCTCCACCAATGGACCGGCTGGGATACCAAGCTGATCTGCTAAAAGCCTCGCTGTTTGTGGTTGGCGTTGGGACCCCAAAGCGTGATGCATGAGGAAATGAAAGGAATCAGAAGTCTTCTATGATTCCTCCAGGTTGTTCTGGTTTGCTCAGGGCCTGAGCCTCTTTTCTATCTTCCGGACAGGCCAACAAGAAAGCCCCGACAATCATTCTTTGACTTCCTTGTAAACCGTTTTGGTGTGCAAGGCCCTAATCCCTTTTCCCATTTGCGAGGTTTAGGATCTTGATGGTGGGGCCTGGAACCGGCAAGCTGTTAGACCAACGCACCAGCTGGAATGCTCGCACGTCGTGGTCGTGGTGGCTCGAACGGGATAGCATGAGGATGTGGGAAGTTTAGCCGGCAGTTTTCTCAGCTGCTTTCCTGCAAGCAGATGGTGTGGTGTTGCTTCAAACGTCTTTCCGCAGAATCCTGAGAGCATTCTATTCCAACGATGCCTTGCCTTATCCTAGTGCCCTAGACAATTGAAGGCTTCCTGTTGCGACGGCTCCGTAGCTTGAGAGCCACAACAACAACACACGCCCACTGTGCTGAACCCTTGTTTTGACCCTTGTATCATGAAAGTTGCATGCTTTTGAAGGTACACAACAGTCTTCAGGTGAGAGCACCCCTTCCTATGTTGTTTCATCCTGCAGGTGTGTGTGTGTGTGTGTGTGAAAATCCTTTGGGCGCAGAGCTGTTGGTTGGCGCCTTGGCGCTTCAAGGGTTCCTCAAAATGCCTCCCAAACCCTAACACTTGGACTCTGAGCCCTAAACCCTAAACCCTAAACCCTAAACCCTAAACCCTAAACCCTAAACCCTAAACCCTAAACCCTAAACCCTAAATCCTAAACCCTAAACCCTAAACCCTAAACCCTAAACCCTAAACCAACTCGCGTGCCCGGTAGCCTGAACACTAAACCTCGGAACTGGCTGCCTTGCAATTTCCTCCCCTCCTCCTCTTACCGGTATGAATATGAACACATACTAAGCCCCCTCCCCAAAGTGGGACCTGATAGGACCCACTGCAGTTGGTGTTGATACCTTGTCGGTTGTTTGTTGTTTAATTGCCAGCTCATGGCTCTCAACGGGCCCTGTTAGGGTTCAGGGTTTAGGGTTTTAGGGTTTTAGGGTTTTAGGGTTTGGGGCTTAGGGTTTAGGGTTTAGGGTTTCGGGTTTAGGGGTCAGGGTGAGGGGTTTCGGGATGACCTGCATAGTTAAAAGGGTTTTAGGGTACCATCTCCGAGGGCATCAGCTTTCTCTCGGAGAAGAAAGACCCTTGGCTGCTTCGAGTGTTGCCCTTCCTGCACACCCGCTACAACCCACACACCCTGAAGCCCTCAAGCCCTCAAGCCCTCGAGCCCTCGAGCCTTTAAGCCTTGAATTCCTCAGCCCACACAGGCCCGACCCAAGGATTCTACTCGGATGGTCAGTCGGGTTTAGGGTTCTAGGGGTTAGGGGTGAGGGTTTAGGGTTTTGGGTTCAGGGTTCAGGTTCAGGGTTCAATTGGGGCTTTCATTCGTTACCCCTCCTGACTGACCGCACATGGTCAGTTCGCTAAAGTATGGCCCGTTTTTGGGTGCCCCAGAAATTCGGGGCCGCTTTATAATGGTAACCCCAAAAAGGACCCTAAACCCTAAACCCTAAACCCTAAACCCTAAACCCTAAGCCCTAAACCCCAAACCCTAAACCCTAAACCCTAAACCCTAAACCCCAAACCCTAAACCCTAAGCCCTAAAACCCAAACCCTAAACCCCAAACCCTAAACCCTGAACCCTAAACCCTAAGCCCCAAACCCCAAACCCTAAACCCTAAGCCCTAAACCCCAAACCCTAAACCCTGAACCCTAAACCCTGAACCCTAAACCCTGAACCCTGAACCCTGAACCCTAAACCCTAAACCCTAAACCCTAAACCCTAAACCCTAACATTCAGGGTCGGTGATGTCACCACGCGGCCCTCTAGGGGCCCTCGTCCCAGGATGGCTTACCTCAGTTTCAACGAGACTGTCAACTCAAACTTGAAGCAACCTGGCAGATCGTCTGGCTCTTCGGGTTTAGGGTTTAGGGTTTAGGGTTTGGGGTTTAGGGTTTAGGGTTAAGCTTTAGCGTTAAGGGTTTAGGGTTTTGAACCCTCAGCCCTACTTGAAGGTTCATGGGTCTTTATGTCTTTAGGCTACCTGACTTAGAAGCTTACTTATGGCTACCCGTGAACCTTCAAACCCAACACCCTAAAGCCTAAACCCTAAACCCTAAACCCTAAACCCTAAACACTAAACCCTAAACCCTATGTCAGGTCTTAAGGATGGGGAGCTGGCGCGGGTGGCGTGGCGCTCTCATGGCAAACCATCCTTGTGTAAGCCCTCAACCTTTATGGTACTTCATAGCTCTGCTTCGTACCTACTTACTTACCATGTCCTCCCTAAGCCCCAAACCCTAAACCCTAGCCCGAAACCCTAAACCCTGAACCCTCAACCCTATCCCCCCGACACCCCCAAAATAGGGTTGTTGGGACCCAGGTTCACCTCCGACAACTCTGAGGAGAACGAGGAGACGCGAAGCACCAGAGTTCATAGGGTTTAGGGTTTCGGGTTTAGGGTTTCGGGTTTAGGGACCCGATCCTGAATGCTAAGTTTAGGGCGAAACCCGGCCTGCTTGGACCCCCCAGCTGCCGCTGAACCCGGGTTTAGAGTTTAGGGTTTGGGTTTAGGGTTTAGGGTTTAGGGTTTAGGGTTTAGGGTTTAGGGTTTAGGGTTTAGGGTTTAGGGTTTAGGGTTTGGGGTTTAGGTTTAGGGTTTAGGGTTTAGGGTTTAGGGCTTAGGGTTTAGGGTTAGGGTTTAGGGTTTAGGGTTTAGGGTTTAGGGTTTAGGGTTTAGGGTTTAGGGTTTAGGGTTCGCTTGAGCTTAGCAGCCGTTGTTGGGGGTTGGAGGACTTGGGGCGTCAGTGGTTTGGGGCTTAGGATTATTGAGTGGAGGGGCTCCAGAAAGAAAGGACCTTAATCAACCCTCTGAACCCTAAACCCTAAACCTTAAATCCCTAAGCCCTAAACCTTAGAGCCCCCCAAAAAGGCTGGCGCATTCTGCAGGGTTCCTTGGATCCTTCCTTGAGCCCTGAAACCTTAATACTAGAGGTACTTACATACATAACCAGAAAGGAACCCCGAATTTAGGGAAAGTAAAGATACATGGGAATGTAAGTAGACAAGTAAGTCAATGCAGACAGACATATCTATATATGTATGTATCACATATGCACACACCTACATAAGAGTTCGCGGATGTTTAGGTTTCGGTATGAAATCTTCGCGGCCTTCCGCCCACTCAGAAGGTGCATGAGTCTTTTGTGTCTTTTCTGCCGTGGGCAAGGAGATGCTCAAGAAGGACCTGCCGCTGCGATACACATGGCTCCTGGCCCAGTAGGAGGGTTTAGGGTTTAGGGTTTAGCGTTTAGCGTTTAGGGATTAGGGTTTAGGGTTCAAGATTAAAAAATTTGGTGTCCAATCCTAAGCCCCAAAACTTAAACCTTTGTAACGACCCCCCCCCAAAAAAAAGCAGCCTGTCATGCTCTCATTCTCCAAAAAAAATCGGTGCCGCGCCTGCCGGTCTGCATCTTCTGTGCGTGGTTTAGCTTCTTCGCCGCCTACTTGAGTCACCCGAAAGTTCATGGGTACTTAGTAGGGGTTCAAGTTTATAGCAGAGGATACCGACTTATAACCCTATGTATAACTTCCAATGATGCACCTGTCTTGCGGACACAAAGCTGGCAGAACTGTGGCAAACCTTGCGAATGGAAAATGACCGGACTTTCGGGCAGCCTTCGGAAAGAAGCATTTCCGGAATTTGGGGGTAGCTTTCGCCGGCGAATCTTGCGAAGAAAGAAACTTCCGATGTCTCGGAATCGCTTGCCCTTAAGCGGCGTTGGGCGTGTCCTTTGATCATGAGAGGGATGAGTCGTCCAATTATGGCCCCTTCTTGGGTGCCCTAAAAATTAGGGGCCGGCTTTTTGTCAGAAACCCTAAACCCTAAACCCGAAACCCTAAACCCGAAACCCTAAACCCGAAACCCTAAACCCTAAACCTTAAATCGAAAAAGGACGGTGTTGTAGAAAGCTCACCATCTCTTGTGTATGGTCTTTCACATTAGTGGGGCGGGCTTTTGGGCTTGGCGTCCAGGGTTGGAGGTTGGAGTTTCGACTGGGCCCTAGGGTTTAGGGTTTAGGGTTTAGGGCTGGGCCCTAGATGTTGGTGGGGTGATTTTTCTTGGGATGTGCTGAGAGATGGGCTTTTAGTATCGAATCCAGGTGCCAGGTGGTCTTTATTCGGCTGGTCCAAACCTGCTCATGTCCCGGCAGTTCGGAAGGGGGGGAGCACAGAGAGTAGTTCTTAGCAGCACCAGAGGTAGGAAGTGCGGCCATGCGGGCTGTCTTACCTGGGCAAACCTATGCCGAGCCCAAGAGTGAGAAAGCAGGCGAGGTGCCATGTAGCACTCAGGATACTCAGAATCTTAGAGGCATTCTCAGGATTTTTTTTTGGGTGCTGCAACTCCTAAGAAGCAGCTAAATACAATAATTTTTTTCTAGGGCTCCAAGTTCAGCATAGGGACGGCCACACGTTGAGCTTTCTCTGCCTTGCGACGGCGAAGAGGTCGGAAGACGAGGACGAGGTGCAGACGCCGGCTTTCCGTCGCCGCGACCGCCGCCGCCTCCGAGAGCTACGGCTTGAGAAGTTCCTAAAGGCGAACGGCTTCAGGGATGTAAACAAGCCGTGCCAGGCCGGGTGCTTCTCCTTCAAGGAAAGGCTCTGTCCCCTTCACGTTGCTGCGCAGCTCGGCGATCACGAGACGGTTCGCGTTCTCCTGGCTGCTGGTGCCGATGCATCGACGAAGACCTCCAAGGGCCGGACGGCACTGGAGATTGCAGAAGGATTAGGCAACCGGACCACAGTTGATGTGCTGCGCTGCAATACCAAGGTCATGACCGCACGTCAGTTCACCAACTTTTCCCTCATGCTGTGATTTCAAGTATCTTAATTCGTGAGCTCCGCTCGGACATCCACTCTGATGTGGGGAGTGGTACCGAATTTCAGCGCCCTGGCCGCCCCGGTGCATAGCGAGGGTTCAGCTGGTCGGAGGAAGGAGAAGAGCAGCTTCCTTAAACCCTCAACCTTTCAAAGAACAGAACACCGGGGCTGTTCCAGATGTTCCAGAAGGTGCTGCAGACGCGAGTGTTAAAGAACCTGAAGTTGCCACATGGACACATGGCAAGGAAAGAAGGGTCTCCCCGACCTCGCACCCGAAATCCCCCCCAACCCCGAACCCTAAACTCCTTGCCCTGTTCTGGCGACGAAACTCAACTTCAAGCCATGTGAGCCTCGGGTTTGGGATTTTCTGACAAACGCCCACGCTCACAGAGTGGCGACGCTCAAGGGGACCCTGGGATGATCTTGCATGGGTACAGAAGCCCTGCGCCCTAAACCCTGGGATGATTTTGTAGGTGTTTTAGGGGTTGTTTGGGTATTCTTGGGATTATTGAACGGGTTTAGGGCTGGCCATGGATCGTTGTAGTCAGTTGGCCGAAGGCTGAAGTGGAGGTGTAGAAAGGGGTTAAGTTCTGGCTTCACTGCAGCAACGTGTTTGCAAAGCTGCTCTTTCCATCATCACGGTGATGAGTTAGCTTGCCCATGGCCCTGTGAATGTGCATGCGCAGAATCCCTATCAGAAGCTGTAAGCGTGCAATCTCATCCCACATCCATCCGCTAATGGATTTGGTGCTCCGCCTCCGCCTCCGCCTCTGCCCCTGCCCCTGCCTCTGCCTCTGCCTCTGCCTCTGTCTCTGTCTCTGTCTCTGTCTCTGTCTCTGTCTCTGTCTCTGTCTCTGTCTCTGTCTCTGTCTCTGTCTCTGTCTCTGTCTCTGTCTCTGTCGCTGTCTCTGTCTCTGTCTCTGTCTCTGTCTCTGTCTCTGTCTCTGTCTCTGTCTCTGTCTCTGTCTCTGTCTCTGTCTCTGTCTCTGTCTCTGTCTCTGTCTCTGTCTCTGTCTCTGTCTCTGTCTCTGTCTCTGTCTCTGTCTCTGTCTCTGTCTCTGTCTCTGTCTCTCTCTTTCTCTCTCTCGCTCTCTCTGTCTTTGAGGGTTTTGCAGCAGCAAAAGGGAGGTGTGTCGAGGCGCGTCGCCACTCATGCAGTTTTCCCGTGTGGATGCTCTGAAGATGAATCAGTGGGCTAGGGCTCATGAGTCATATGCATCCTATCTGGGGGTATGCTTCCACGCCACAGTACCATGAAGGGGCAGCGAATCCCTACAACGAGGGAGTGCGTGCAGCAGGTAGGCGGCCGCCTCTTTTTCCAGGGAGTTTGCTCTGTGACCCTCATGACAGGTGCGGATTGCGGGCAGTTCGTTCGAGAAGCAACGCAACAGGGTTGGACAGGACGCACGGCTTTGAACCTGAGGTATAGCCCGAGAAGTCGTAGGAATCTACTCGCGGAGTCTGGGTTGCAGGAATTAGGGTTTAGGATTTCCCTAAACGCTAAACCCTAAACCCTAAACCCTAAACCCTCAACCAAAAACCCTAAACCCTAAACCCTCAACCCTGAACCCTGAACCCTCAACCCTAAACCCTAAACCCTAAACCCTAAACCCTAAACCCTAAACCCTAAACCCTAAACCCTAAACCCTAAACCCTAAGCCTAAACCCTTTTCTCGATGTGCAAGGCTTCGTCGTGTGCAACCGCCCCGCAACATTACCAACCCTGGAGCGCTCCACGAAAAACTCCGAACCCAAGGGTGGAAGGTCTAATATAGGGCTTAGGGTTTAGGGTTTAGGGTTTAGGGTTTAGGGTTTAGGGCTTAGGGTTTAGGGTTTAGGGTTCAGGGGTTCAGGGTTTAGGGCCGTTTAGGGTTTAGGGTTCAGGGTTTAGGCTTTAGGGTTTAAGAATAATTGCAAACATCATGACCTGATGGTCCCTGTAGAATGATACTATGGCAACCCCCAAAACCCTGTTCGAAGTACTGCGGCCCCTTTTCTTAGACAAAACCGTGCGGTGCCTGGCCCTGGCGGTGATCACCTTGTCTGTTCGAAGCGAAAAAGCTTGGTGGCCCAGTGGCGCCCTTTCCCTTTTTTGTTGGTTCAAGGTTCCATTATCAAGTACCCAACCCGGAACAGGGTGGCCGTATTCTCATATGGTTACTGGGCTACCAAGAAAGGAAGAGCTGACATTTCAGCAGCAGTTCCTTGGGGGATGTTGTGCCGCCTTGAGCAGCCCCTGGCACTGAATCATCCCAGCCTGGCCATAGTTGGGTAGTGTTGGGTACATGACCCGGTCGGGGTTTGCTGGCGGTTGGCCAGCCGTGCTTTGGCGTCGATGATTCGGTTGAACCAGGGATGTGCGGACCTTGGCGGTTGCAGACGCGAGGGGGCAGCGAGACCCGGGCGAGGTAGTCGAGTGCGCTGAGGGTTTCAGGTTTTTAGGGGTGTCGGGTTGGGGTGTTCCCCCCTATACTAACAATCCTTAGTAGGGATGGTAATAGGGGGTAGTATAAACCCTAAACCCTAAACCCCTGTTAGAGAAAGGGGGGGAACATCTCAAGGTGTTGGGTTTAGGGTCGAGCATGCTAAGAACGGACAACTCGTGGATGCATCACGCACGTGACTTGCCTTGTCCAGGGAAGTTGGGCTGCGCCCTCCATACGGTTTTTTGTTGGCAGGTCCTTGGGGACATGATATATCTTCCCTTGCTGGGTTTAAGAGCATAGGGGGGGTTTAGAGGGCCAACCTGGGATGGAACAGTTTGTGCCTCGTGCAAGTTTACCCAGATGTTTGCGAAAGTGGGCTCGGCAATGCGCTGGCATCGAGCAGGGTCGGTGCCACGTGTCGGACTGTATCGTGCAGCAAGCTAGCGTCGAGCCACTTTCTTCGTGCACGAGGCACGAAGAAAAGAGCTGTCTTGGCCACTCATTGTTTCAAACCATGAGGGGTCACGGTGAAGCTCTACACGAGCCTAAACGCCAAAACTTAAAAACCTTAGAACTCTTGGTTTGTACATTCTTGTGGTGTGCCATTCTTCCCTCATCTTCCAACATTGGGGAAGTCAGCAGAGGAAGAAGTGAACCTCGGAGCAGCTGCGGCCAAATGGCTACCGCTTGATGTTGTGCTTTGCCATCAGCTTCGGATGCACTGTTCAAGTCCGCAGCACCCGAAGTTGGGATGGCTTAGCATCGAATATTGGGATCGGAACGGTATTCCCTTATGGTCCCTTTACAAGTATACTAGAATCATCCCCAAAACTCTACTCTAATCATTAAGGCCCCTATATCAGAATCTATATAAGAAGTGTTCGGCTACGAGCCACAACAGAGGTGCCGAGCCACTCGCGGCGCTGAGGCAACGCGCGAGCCAGGTGTCGGAAAATCTCTGTGACAGCGATGGCCTGGCAGCCCTAGCAGCTTCCAGTATGGTTTGCGAATCTAGCTCAAACCCTAAACCCTAAACCCTAAACCCTAAACCCTAAACCCTAAACACTAAACCCTAAACCCTAAGTCCTAAGCCCTAAACCCTAAACCCTGAACCCTAAGCCCTAAACCCTAAACCCTAAACCCTAAACCCTAAACCCTCAACCCTCAACCCTCAAACCCTAAACCCTACACCCTAAACCCTAAACCCTAAACCCCTATACCCTAAACCCTAAACCCTAAACCCTAAACCCTAAACCCTAAACCCTAAACCCTAAACCCTAAACCCCTAAACCCTAAACCCTAAACCCCACATGGACCCCATGGAGCTGAGACATTGCGTGCGCTTCGGCAAATGGAGCTGCTCAGGTTGACGGTCTCTTGAGTTTGCGTGAGTACAGCTTCCAGCACGGGCTAGTATACCCTCTAACCCCCTAAACCCCAAACCCTAAACCCTAGACCCTAGACCCTAACCCTAAACCCTAAACCCTAAACCCTAAACCCTAAACCCTAAACCCTAAACCCCAAGCCCTAAACCCTAAACCCTAAACCCTAAACCCTAAACCCTAAACCCGAAACAACAGAAACCCGAAACCCGAAACCCCAAACCCTAGACCCTATAACCCCCTTCCCAGACCCCGGTGAGGATCCCAACAAAAATAGGTCCCCAATAGTAGTATAGGAAGCTGTTTTTGGGGTTCTGCTTTTTGGATCCTCCCAGGGGTCTGGGTTATACCCGCCTATAACCCCCTTAAACAGTCCCTGTATGTGGTTGATCATGGGCATTATAGGGCCTAGTAGCCCATCCTGGTTAGAACCGTCTGGAGCAGCCAGCACAGGGTCTGGCTTGGAATGGCATACCTAATCAACTTAAGCCCCCAACCCCAAACCTCATCCCCTAAAGGGTACTCCGAGTTCCCAAATTCCCTAATTCCCTAATTCCCTATTTCCCGAATTCTTTAATTCCCTATCCTAATTCCCTGATTCCCTCTCCTAATTCCTTGATTCCCGAATGCCCTAAACCCTAAACCCTAAACCCTAAACCCTAAACCCTAAACCCTAAACCCTAAACAATTTTGCCTCATTCCCGAATTCCCAGCATGAGCCAGTAAGTTTCGGGATGAAAGTGCAGGGCTGCTCTGCTACACTGCTGCCTTGCCGGGGAGGATCCAACAGTAGATCCCCTTAACTAAGGGCTCTAAGAACGACCCAATGGTAGTATAGCCCTAAACCCTAAACCCTAAACCCGAAACCCTAAACCCTAAACCCTAAACCCCTAAACCCTTTGGGGGTTCGGATCCTCCCAGGGCTCTGGGTTGTCGGTGTCGGGCGGAGGGAAGCAGGCCTCTCCTTGCTTGGGATTGTTTAGGGTTTAGTGCTTAGGGTCCGTAGGGTTTAGGGTTTAGGGTTTAGGGTTTAGGGTTTAGGGTTTAGGGTTTAGGGTTTAGGGTTTAGGGTTTAGGGTTTAGGGCTTCTTGCTGAATGCATTGGGATGTTCCCACCTTATACGAACAGTCCTTCATCGGAATTGTACCCCTAGTAAGGACTCTTAGTCTGAGGGGGAACCTCCCAG